GCGCTGCTGCTGGGGGCGCTGCACGCGGCGCCAGCGCGCGGCCAGGAGTACGACTACTACGGCTGGCAGGCAGAGCCGCTGCACGGCCGCTCGTACTCCAAGCCACCGCAGTGCCTCGACATCCCCGCCGACCTGCCTCTCTGCCACACAGTGGGCTACAAGCGCATGCGGCTGCCCAACCTGCTAGAGCACGAGAGCCTGGCCGAGGTGAAGCAGCAGGCGAGCAGCTGGCTACCGCTGCTGGCGAAGCGCTGCCACTCGGACACGCAGGTCTTCCTCTGCTCGCTCTTCGCGCCTGTCTGCCTCGACCGACCCATCTACCCGTGCCGCTCTCTGTGCGAGGCGGTGCGCGCCGGCTGTGCACCGCTCATGGAGGCCTACGGCTTCCCCTGGCCCGAGATGCTGCACTGCCACAAGTTCCCTCTGGACAACGACCTCTGCATCGCTGTGCAGTACGGGCACCTGCCCGCCACTGCGCCTCCAGGTAGCGCCGACACCGCCCCCGCGCGCTCCGACGGCCCTGGGCGCCTGCGAGCTGGCCCTGAGCCTTCACGCAGCCCCGGGTGCCCCGGACAGATGCCGTTACCCCCAGCCCCTTAGCGCAGCTCTGCGAGCTCCGGGTAGGTGCCCACCCCCTTCACACGCGCGCGCGCGCGCGCGCCTTCTCCAGCCCTGCGTGCCGTGCCCCGAGAATTGTCCCCGCAGCCTTCCCGCCGTCCCACCTCCCCACGGACCGATGCCCGAGCAGTACCTCCCTGCGGCTCTGGACATTCCCACTGGTTCTCCCTACTCCACCTCCGTTCCTCCAGACCCCGGAAGCGCCTCGCAGCGCCCACATCCCCAGGCCGCTGGCATCCCTGGGACGCTCCTAATCTGTCCCCCTGCTCCCCATCCTGAGGCGTCCCGATAAATGCCTTCTCGCTTCCCTCAGCCCGAGAATGTGGTGGTCGCTAAACAGTGCTTTTCACCTCTTCCATAGCCCTGGACCAGGGCACCAAGGCAAGCATCACCTCTGCTCCAGGTTGAGACCTTTGCAGGGGGAGGGGAGGGGAGAGGAGGGCAAGAGAAGACAGAGCAAAAGGCTGGGGGCTAAGCGCGCGCCTGGGCTATTGCTCCCCCCACCCCCGATTTCTGTGCTGGGAACTTCTCCCACCCTCTTCCCAGTTCCCCGGGCTGGGAACCCTTTGAGTAAGCCTCTGTACGGAAAAAGCCGATTCGCCAGACTCTGCCCCAACAGTCCTGAGACAGTTGCTGACCTTTTCTGAGTTTCCCTATCTGTAAAACAGATCATGCCCCCGCCCCCAGTCCCGTTACCCCAATTCTCTCCCGTCGCAGCCTCCCTTTCGCTGTGCCCCACCACGGGCTCTTCTGGAGCCCCACCTGGCCAGGTAAGGCCCAGACAGGAAGGTAAGCTATGGCAACAAGCAGGAAAGCCTCACCTGGGCAGTTAATGCCAGAGTCCAAGCCACCCCAATGCAGGGCTCCTTTTTCATACCCTCTATGCTCCCTGCTCCCCTAAAAGTAACTAGACTCATTTGCCCTTGGGTGGCCCATACCATTCACCACCCCATACCCGATCCCACCCCTCAGGGCTAAACTAACCTCACCCATGCAATGTGCCCAGGCCACTCACTTCTACCCAACCCATGCCCTCTCTGAGAGCCACTGCTGGGTGCCAGTCGTGTGACTGGGGAGGGTTGAGAGAGGGGAAACGCCCTCTCCTGGAGGTTGGAAATCAGAGAGAGGGCAGTTGAGGCAGTGACATCACAGTCCCCAGCAGAGATCCATGCAGTGAGGTCCCTTCTAGTGGGCATGGAAATCCTACCTGACACTGCCCTCCACACTCCCCAACCTCTTTGACCCCCCTTTCCCCAGTAATGGGGGCCCCACCTGGAGGCAGAGACATAGGAGATGCTGAGCAGAGGTTAGGCAAGGGTGGGTGTGGTGGCCTGAGGACCAGAGACAGCCTGAAGAAGTGGCTGCGTGGCCAACAGATAAAACTCAGAATATTTCATGTAAAAATTAAGAATTTTGGCTTCGTTTGAAAAATCAGAAGTTCTGGCAATCTGCCCACTTGAGAGGGGGGCCCTGCCCAGCCAGCTTGACTTGTTCACCTACCTGCCTGACCTTGTCAGCATTTGTTTTCCTAGAAAGACCCTGCAGACACCCCAACCCCAGCACCAGACTGGGAGTCCCAAATCCTGAGTCCCAAGCCTGGTTCTCAAGATTTACAGAGTTGGGTAACCACTCGGGGCCTGTTTCCTTTTCTCTAAAATGGGAATAATAACATCTACTTCCCCGGCTGAGAACTGAATGAGATAAAAATGTAGGAGAATACAAGGCACAAGGATGGTTGTGGCTGTGGGTTGTGAGGCAGTCATTGTGCCCACCTGGGCAGCTTTGTCCCTGCACCACCTGGTTCAAGACTCACAACCGCTCAGCCAGCAGGTGGTGGTGGTATTACCATCATCCTCCTTTCCTGATGAGGAAGTGGAAGCTTGGGGGAAGTAGGGTGACTGGTAAGTGGGGAAGCCTGCACCCGAAGTGGATTCTTGGACTGCAGTCCCCTCAGCTTCCCTGTCCCCACTCTGCCTTCTCTCCTCAGTGACCAAGATCTGCGCCCAGTGTGAGATGGAGCACAGTGCTGACGGCCTCATGGAGCAGATGTGCTCCAGCGACTTTGGTGAGTGTCGGCCTGAGCGGCCACACCACACACCCAGCCCCTCCTTGACACATCCAATCACACACGTGCCCACACCCACCACAGTGAATCCCGTTTCTGCATCACGGAGCCCTTTCAGAATCTGCTGATAAGCAGACACCTTCTCCCCAGAGAAGTGTACCTCTTTTTAAAATCTATATACTGTGGTAAAATGCTCATAACATAAAGTTCACCATTTTCAAGTGGCATTTAGTACATTCAGTGTTGTGCAACCATCGCCATCATCTAGTTTCAGAACTCTTTATCACTCAGAAAGGGAACCCTATACCCAGTAAGCAGTCACTCCCCATTTCCCCCTCCTCTACCCCCTGGCACCCACTAATCTGCTTTCTGTTTCTGCTTATCATCCCAAGGGCTTCAAGGGCCCCCTCAAGGCCATGGTCATAGACCTTAGAAACCACTGCCAGCCAGGGCTCCTACAGCCATCCCTGGGCGCTGCCCAGAGGGGCCTCGCAGCTACATTTGTCTCTTTAGGGGATGCAGGCTTAGCCCAGTGATGGATGGGGGCAGTGTGGGGAGAGCTTGGCTCCAAGATGGAAGTGCAGCACCCTCACCCCTGGGCACCTCTGCCTAGTACCCAGCACACCTCTGGCCAGGGAACTGTGGTCACCTGTGCCCAAAGCTTCATCCTGGAGCTTCCCATTCCTGGGACAGCTGAGCCAACAGTCCAGTCAGGACTGGTACGTGCATGGACCACAGTCCAGCATGTGATCTTTGCCAAGTCAGCTCCCTGTGCTGTCTTAGCCTCCGTGTGTATAAGAAAGAGATAATAACACTGTCCTCGCTTTAGGGTATCTTTTATGAAGTTAATCTGTTCGGAAAGAGAATACTGCTATTGCATGGTGTGTGTGGTTGTGTGGTATCAGACAGAAGAGAAGGGGAGAGAGAAAAAGATTTTATGAAGCTTCATTTCCTGAGTGGGCAAAGTTATTCTGTCTTCTCCCTGGCCACTCCTGAACTAGGGGCCCAGAGACCTGGCCGAACCCAGAACTCCCTATCCCCAATCATACCAGGCTCTCTGCCACCACCTCAGAGTGGCCTGGACTGTGACTCGCTGGCCACAAACCCTGCCTTCAATCACCTCCCCTCACCGCCGTCCCTGCACACACATACACTCACACACTCTACACATACCAGACATGATCTCACTCACACACACATACACACACACACTACACATACCACAGACATGCTTTCATACACAAACACACCATACATACACACTCTCACACATACACATTACAGTGGTGTGCTGGAGCGGGTGCACATCCACAATAGCTGATGGTACCTATCTCCTCCCATCTCTGTGTTCAGTGATGTGATTGGCAGTGGTGGGAGTTTTACCACAGGGGTAAACACTATAGATTAGGGCTCTCCCTGCCCCAGAGTCGGGTGTTAAACATTTACCAGCCCACAACTGTTCAAATCAGACTCACACCATACACATACCCCATATGGACTCCAAACCACACACACACACACAAAGTCAGAGATCTGAGTTGGAAGCATCCCCAGACCTCGGTCCAATGCAGGCTCCACAATTCAGACAGGTCACTGCCTCTCCAAACCTCATTCTCCCTCTCCTATACCTCGAGGGCGGAGCAGCAGAATGCCCGTGAAAGCCCAGCACATGAGAGGAGCTACATAAATAGTAAAATGTACACTATACACTCATCCCTCCCAAGCCCCCAGAGCACAAGTCCAGCACTAATGGGGCCACCAGCATCCTGAGCACACCCTGTCTCTCCCACAGTGGTCAAAATGCGCATCAAGGAGATCAAGATAGAGAATGGGGACCGGAAGCTGATTGGAGCCCAGAAGAAGAAGAAGCTGCTCAAGCCGGGACCCCTGAAGCGCAAGGACACCAAGCGGCTGGTGCTGCACATGAAGAACGGCGCTGGCTGCCCCTGCCCACAGCTGGACAGCCTGGCGGGCAGTTTCCTGGTCATGGGCCGCAAGGTGGACAGACAGCTGCTGCTCATGGCTGTCTACCACTGGGACAAGAACAACAAGGAGATGAAGTTTGCGGTCAAATTCATGTTCTCCTACCCCTGCTCCCTCTACTACCCCTTCTTTTATGGAGCTGCAGAACCCCACTGAAGAGCGCTCCTCCCTGCCCCCGCAGCCAGCTTTGCCTTGCCCTCTGCCCCTGCCCTGGGATGTGCTCCCTCCTCCTCCCCCACCAGCCTCACCCAACTCCCAGGCTGATCCACAGGTCCTAAGGGGTGGGCATTGAGCCAGGACTATGCTACCCGACTGAGGTATCCCTGAGGTCTTGGGTGTCTTAGGAGCAGAACTTTTTCATTTGGGAGAAACTCCAAGCTCTCAGAAAGTAGAACGAGGGAGAGCGCAAAAGAAGGGGGGGGGGCAGGGGGGGGTCTGAGCAGCCTGAGGAGGACGTTTCCAGAGAAGATGGGTGGTGTCCAGTCCCCTCTGTTGGTGTTGGGACCTCACCTTGGAGAAGGGGGTCTCAATATTAGGCTGAGCTACTTGGGGGGACAGTTACCCCCCACCCCCACTGTGCTTTACGTGCCCTCATAGTAGCCCTCTAAAGGAGCGGAGCTGTGGTCACAAAACCCTCCAGCCACACCCCCTGCCTTCCCCATCTTTGTGCATTTCCTCACCCAGAGGCCTGGAGTTCCCAGGGACTCCAGAGCGAGACTCTAGATCCAGTCTCTGAGCAGACTCCCCTTCCACAAGATCGCTGCTTAGAGTCATTCCTCAGCCTCCCGCACCCCCTCTGACCTGATGACGAGTAAATTATTGCTACTGCTATGAGGCCATAGTACTAGACACCCGACGCAGGGAGGGGCCAGGTTTTGTTTTTTTAAGTTTTTAATTAAATCAAAGAAACCAACAGTTGGTATTGACCAGGTGATTTCTTTGTCATCTGATTCCCAAGAGATGGGGGGAGAGGAAGGTTTAGAATGGACTTCTAGAAAGAGGCCCTTATCCTAGCCCACCACCTGTCCACACAGACATACTTGGAATGCCTAAGAAGAGCAATGCCCCGTGGTTTTGTAGGGCTCCCAGAGAGCACAGAGCAAGGGTCACCCCCTCACCCGAGCACTAAGTGAGGGATGGAAAAAACTGTCCTTTTGTCCGAGGAGCTCCGAGGAGGTACAGAGGGCCGAGTTCCCCAGCCTTCTCCCACAGTCAGAAGACTGCCACGATCCAGCAGCATCTCCCACAGCCAGGTAGTGCCTGGTCCCAGGAGCCCAGGAAACCTGGGCCATGGGGGCTGCTATGAAGAGCTGGAGACCTAACCTGTGTCACTGCTACCCACTGCAGCTTTGAAACACCTCTGGTCACGGTCCTGACCCACAGGAGATAGGATGGTGTAGAGCCATGCTTCTCTAAGTGTGGTCCCTGGACCAGCAGCACTGGCATCACCTGGGAACTTGTCAGAAATGCAGCATCTCAGGCACCACCCCAGACCTGCTATATAGAATCTGCATTTTAACATGACCACTAGAATCATCTAGGGAGCTTTACAAAACACTGGGTCCCACCCTAGGACAATTAAATCAGAATCACTTCTAGGGGACCCGCAAACCCACCCAAACCTGTTGCTGTCAAGTCGATTCCAACTCAGAGCGGCCCTATAGAACAGAGTAGAACTGCCTCATAGGGTTTACAAGGAGTGGCTGGTGGATTCAAACTGCTGACCTTTTGGTTAGCAGCCGGGCTCTTAACCATTGTGCCACCAGAGCTACAGAAGTATTTCAGATGCTCCACAGGGCGACGTGCAGCCACGGTTAAGAACTACTGTCTAGAGAAGCTAACAACTAAGGCAGGAAGAGGGTGAGGGGCTTGGTCCTGCACACTAGGGAGGGGGCTAAGATGCCTGGGAGAGGTTCTTCAGAGGGGCTTAGAGCCAGGGGAGGCTGCTGCCTTGAGGTGGTGGGCCAGGGAGGGAAGAAGGCTTGCAATGGAGGCAGGAGGTTGCTACCACTCAAATGGTAGCATTCTGGAAGGGATGGTGCCAGGAAAGAGTTCAGGGGGATGGGCAGTAGATGTTGAGGGGCAAGGCAGATGTACCCAGAGCAGGGGGTCAGAGCCCAGAGGGGCTGATCTCACCAGGAGGGGTGGAGCTGGGATGCCAGGGCCTGTCTGAAGATCTGCTGCTCCTCCAAGAAAGGAACCTTGTCCTCTTGAGGTGAGGAAAACCTTGGCTTCAGCAGCTCTGAGGAGAGCGCTGCCTCAGAGAATGGAGGGATACGGCATCTCCAGAAAAGCCAGAGGGCCTGAACTCTTCTGTGGGGCCAGTGCAAGCTGTGCTCCCCTGAGGTCTAGCTAACAGGTGGTCTGTCTGCCCATAAACCACCCCCCTGGACAGTCAGGTAGCCTCACCACACAGGTCAGGAGTGGCAGAGGCCTACTTGTTTCTCCTCACCTCTGAGGAAGCTACTACCACCCACTCTGGCCCAAACCCTGCCCAGCTCACCTGGCTCCCTGAATCTGCTCTTTGTCTCCCAGCCTCTTACCCCGACCAAATATTTACAGACACTTCTATGGTCAACCAGGACCAGGGGTTCTTTTTCCACTGAACACACAAAACACCAGGCTGGATTCTGGCCCAAGTACAATACTGATCTCTGTCAGGTGCTGGCAGCCAGTGAGACGGAGTAGGGTGGGGGACAGCACTCCTTTAGCCCACCCCATGAGGTCCCAGTAAGATACTCCTCACCCCCCTCACCTCTACAAAGGGGTCAGGACTCTGTTCTGTAATACCTGCTCTGAACCCCGACATCTTCTGTCAGACCCCCCAGGAATCTCTTTCCTGGTGCTAAAGAAGGATCCTCACAAAGACCAGGGAGGCCCTGCCAGGCCTGAGCCCCACCCTTTATTTCCTTCAATTACAAAACCCTTCTTTCCACCTCACTGCAAGGTGGGCCTGGAGACCCGCAGCTGGTGCTGCCCAGAAAAAGAGCACTCCAGGCTGAGTGTATCAGTAAAGGGTTACATCGGACTGCATGGACCAGAAACCCCTAGTAACAGTGGGGGCTTCTCCACACTAGAGGGCTGGAGGCGGGCTGCCCTTCCAGGCCTGCCACGTCTGACGCCTGTCTTCTTGCTGTGTGGCTTCTGTTTTCATGGTTACCAGATGGTGCTGCTCCCAACTTCTCAACCGCCTTCCAGGCAGTGACAGAGGAAGGGCTCAGGGCAAAAAGCAGCATGCCAGCTGCCTGTGGCCCTTTTAATGAGGAAAACAGTAATTTCCCAGCAAGTCCCACATGGTAGATTTCCACTTCCCTCTCACTGGCCAGAACCACGTCACAGGGCCATCCCATGTTGCAAGAAAGCAGGGGAAATCAAGTTTTTTAGCTGAGTACAAAGTCAAGTACTATTAACAAAGAAAAGGAAAGATTTGGGATAGGAAACTTAACTCAGCACAGGAGTATGAGGAGGCAGTATAGCCTGGTGCTGGGTTCCAGTCCTGTGACTTAAGTGACTCTGTGACACTGAGAACATTCCTGAGCCTATGTGCCCAGCTGTGAAATGGACTAATAACGTCTAATTCACAGAATTTCTGAGTATTAAACAGGAAAATAAATGAAGAGTGCTGGAAACCATGCCTAGCATGTAGATGTTCATTAAATAGTAATTAGTATTTTTGTTAACCAAAGGACATGACCTGGCACAGTGCTGCCCATAGTGGGTGCTCAGCAAATTCCTAATTGATTCATTAATCAACTAAGAAACACTATTGGCAGGTAGACAGGGAAAAGACCAGAGCATCTTGCCTAAAAGCCAGAATTATTATGTTCAGAAGAGGTAGGGAACCTACATTTGGGGTTTTGGCTTCAGAAAACACATCCCTAGGTGGTATATGGAGCCCTGGTGGTGCAGTGGTTAAGAGCTATGGCTGCTGACCAAAAGGCCAGCAGTTCAAATCCATCAGTCACTCTTTGGAAACTCTATGGGGCAGTTCTACCCTGTCCTATAGGGTTGCTATCAGTTGGAATCGACTCAACAGCCAACGGGTTTAAGTGGTATGTAAGCCAATATTGGGGAGAAGACATGTAATAGAAACCAATAAATATCAGGCACATGCATTCTAATTTGAGGTAGGTACTATTATTATCCCCGTTTTAATGATGAGGTGGCTGAGGCTGAGAGAGGTTAAGTAACTTCTTGGAAGTCACAGTCTGTACGTAGTAGTGCTAGGATTTGACCCCATGCTCTTAAGCACTACACTACTATACACAGGGGGCAAAGCCCAGAACGAGCAGGGGTGCAGACAGCTGTGCTTCTGCCACCCTGCCTCACAGATTTCTGGCAGCCCGGCTCGCATCCCACTCCGAGGGCCCAGACAGAGGCAGCGGGGCCAGCCTCCCACAGTGCCCTTTCTCCTGACAACCAGAGACAGCCCACAGCCGCCTTGCCAGCATCCAGCCTCTGGTCCTCACAAAGGAAGCTCACATCCCACAACTGTTTAGTTGGCTGTGATCCTGGCTAAAGTTCACTCCTTGGGAAATCCAATGTAGGGGGTGGTTGCTGCTGGAATGTGTGTGGCTGGGACACTGGGACACAGGAGGCTCTGCTGGGGCTGTGAAGAAAGCAGGCAGCCAGGGGCCTCGGGAATCCCCAGCCCCTAGCTGTGCCAGAGAATGAAATGTGCTGCTTTGGGGTGTTGAAGCAGACCCAGCCAAGGGTGGCGTGGGGTGGCTGGGAGCTGGGGGAGCTCCTGCCACAAGACTGCCTCTGTTTCCCTGGAGGCTGAGCGCACTTGGCTAGGGCAAGAGGGATGAAGAGGGGCATATAAGGGAGGGAGGCTGTGCTTAGGGGCAGGCCCCTCCTGTTAGCTCGGTGGCTCAGAAGCTCCCGGGGATAGTGGGGGCCAGGCAGGACAGAAGGGAGGGTGACACAGGACTGCTATGTTCATTCCAAGTTTCTTATTAGGCATCTACAAGCACATGTGGCACAATTCACATCCCAGCTCCGCCACGGAATAGCTATGTAACCTTGGGCAGGTTACTTAGCCTCCCCAAGCCTCTGTTTACTCATCTGTAAAATGGAGTTAACAATACAGCCTAGCTTTGGGGATTGCCATAAGGTTTAAAAGAGGTCATGCCCTCAGCATGCTGCCTGCCACAAGTGCTCATAAATGTCGGTTACCTTCAGGGCCACCAGCTGCAGGATGGATGCTGGAGCCAGAGGCCCTCAAAAGGGTGCCTCAAAGTTTCCCAAAAGACCAGAGGATGAAAATGGAGCTTCCTCTGGCTTCAGCCCAAGGGTGAGGTGGTCAAGGGCCACAAGTCCTTAAGACCGCAGAAACCACTGCCAGTTTCAAGTCTGCTGGGACTCACAAACAGAATTAGCAGAGCCCTGACCCCAAGCCAGGCCCCAGGGCTGTAGCAGAACCTGACTACACCATCCCCTTCCGTACCTGAGAGCAAATGGGAACACATCTTTTAAAGCAGGCATTGAATTCTACAACGGACAGTTCGTCTTCCAGACCACGTTACGTTCAGTTCCTCTCTGATGTTGACCCTGGCCACTGTAGAGGCACAATTCAACCCTGTCAATCCCTCTGCGGCTTTACTTTCCCAGGGGTACCAGCACTTTAAAGCTGGCTGTCCCTTGCCCGCTTATACTGAGCCCCTCACACGCACTTCAAGTAGAGGTGGAGGTAGCCCCCGACTTCCCTATCTGGGAGGCTGCTGCCCCGATGGAAACCCATCTTTCTCAAACCTCTGTAACCCATGCCCCACAACCCCAGGCCTCCTCGATTTACTCACATTAGAGCCTGTATTTCACCATTAGGCTTGTTTTCATTTTCCAGAAATAAAACATTGACTCTGCTTTTTCAAACTACTCTTGCCTCTCCCTGAGATTCTTCCCTGAATAATAATCTCCCTAGGATTATTCTCTGGTTGAAAAAAAAAAAAAAATCAGTTTAAAACCATCCAGGGCAAGAGTTCTTTGTTCTCTTCCTGAAGACTGGCAAGACGATGTTAATACATATCATTTACTGAGCACTTACTCTCTGCCAGGCACTGTGCTCCACACCCCACGTGGACTATATCGTTTAATCCTCACATCCACCCCACAAGGTAGACATCACAATCATGCCCATTTTACAGATGAGGAAAGCAGCAGAGAGAGGTGAGGGGCAATGCCCCTGCCCCTGCAGCAACTCACTCCAGCATCGCTCCAGTGGATGGTAGTATGGAGCCGGCAGCGGCGGGCAGCCTTACCCCAGTCTCACGCAGGCTGCTCCTGCTTTAGGTCTGCGTCTTGTTCCACACTCTGGCGCTGTGAGGAAATTGCATCCTCAGTGGAGTCGGTGTCTCTCCCAGAGTGAGGGCTGGACTGGGTAATCCCTGAGTATCCTTCCCACTGGCCTACCATACAGGCTGCCCTCACGGAAGCCACGCTCCACAGTAACTGAGGCTACAGCCCCGCCTCCTCTTCTCCGGGCAAGCCGCCATCACTGCCTTCCCCTTTTGCTTAGAGGCCCCCAACATCCTTACTGTTCCTCTCTGAACCACCAGGCTGCCGAGGCTGCTTTGGCCCTTTTTAAAGTGGGTATGATCTTCTGCAAAAACTGCAAGGACAGGTCCTAGCTGCTTCCCTGCCTCTCAGGGCCTCGTGGGAGCGACCGGGGCTTTCCTATACTAGGGGAAGTTCCTGGGCTTTGCTGACTCCCCCCTAGACCAGAACAAGGCTAAGGCATGCTGGAAAGACACCCCAGCACCTAGCTGCCTGAGTTGCAAGAGCACATGCGTGGGCCATGAAGATGTGGTTACCATCCTCGCTCTGCTGAGCACCATGCAAATCCTTTCACAGCCACTACCTAACTTCCTTGGGCCACCTTACCTGTAAAATGGGGAGACAGCACCTACCTCATGGGGTCATCATGAGGATTAAATGAAATAACGTGTGTAAAGCACTTACCACTGTGCCTGGCTCCCAGGAAAGGCCCAACCCATCCCAGCTCATGGGAACTCCTTATATTCCTCATCCTCTTTCCCGTGGCTCTGGGCGTCCCTGAGGGCTGATCCTTTCTTGCTTTCTCAGAGGGATTGGCTAAAACCTTTCCATTCTGAAGCCTGTGTGGCTTAGAATTTACCCAGGTCTGGTCCTAGCTCCATGCCCCAACCCTGGCCCTCAGGATTCGGTCACAAGACGGAATTTCAAGTCAATGTGACAAACATGAGCTGAGACCCTCATACGTGCAAGGTACAGCCTTCCTCCTCTCAGCCTGGTGCACACCGGGCCAGGCTCCAGCCCCTGCACTGATGGGGCCGACAGACCCTGTCCTACAGCCTCAGTAGAGCTGGCAGAGATCTGGGTGTCCAGCCTCCAGGAAGGGCTAGCACAAGGACCAGGACAAAAGCATCAGAAGCTTGAGGGCTTTTTATTGACAGTTCTCCATATACACAGAGATCCTTTCCGTTCCTCTCCAGTGTAGACAAAGCACAGGACTCTAAACTCTCATTTCTTAACAGGATGAAGGAGCCCGAAGGGGGAAGCCAAGGCCTGCCTGGTCCCCAGGGATTCGCATCTCAGCTGGCCTGAAGCCACCCCTGGCTGCCGAGTCCCAGCTAGACTGGTTGGCCTGGCAAGAAAGCTGGCCTGGGATGGGTGCCTCGTCTCCCGCACCTGCCTCCTCGGGTCCCAGCTTGGGGTGTCGAAACATCTCAGCCTCCTATGGGTTCTGGGTCCCAGGCAGCCCATGACTCCAGGAAAGAGTCCCATGGTAGGAGAAGCACCCCCATCCTCCTCATCCTGTTCCTTGTGCCACAAGTTCCCAGGAACCATGAAATAAATAAATAAATATTTCAAAAAGGCAGGGCAGCTCCAGGGGAGGGGAGTGGCACCTGAGCCAACTCACGGCCTTGGGAGAAACACCTGAGTCCCTAAGAGTCCAGAAGTGAACATGAAATTGTTGGGAAGAGAATGGGGACCCCAAGTAGCCTTATTCCACAACTAAGATTTTCCCAGTGAGATCCTACACTTCCCAGGCCCACAAGGGTCAAGGGCTTCAGGACTTAAGCTCTGCTCACCTGGTCTCACACTCCAGAGGGTATGGGAAGGGCTACCCCACACTCTGGGCAGGAGTGATCTGAGTGCCCTGCAGCTGCCCAGCAGAGCTGAGAACAGCAGGGTCTCTGTAGGGCGGGCTTGTGGTCCCTTGAGTTGCTGGGGCATCCCTAGGCTTTGCCTGACTTAATACTGAAGGACTGCCAGACCCTCCTATATACACTCTCCTCTGGGGGAACTTCATCCCAGCTTCTCAAAGCACTTCTGGTCTCGTTAGCCCTGGCCACACCCTCTGATGGGGAAATGATCAGATCCTGATGCCTGGAGGGACATTCAAGCAGCAGCATTGTGGCATGACAGTACCAAGCCTTTCTGCAGGCGCTCTGAGATCAAGGGCCTGGCACAAGACCCAGCAGGAGAGGAACCTCTTTTTCGATCTCAGCGCTCCTAGAATTTCCAGCCGAGGATAGAACAGCCCTGATCATCAGTGATCCTAATTGAGACCAGGCCTGGCTCACTGGTGCCCTCTAGCTTATACTCCCTGCCCGGCCCTGCTTGCCCTGGAGTCCACGAGCAAAGCAGGGTAAACAGGCGGGGCCCTCCAGGGGCTCCCCCCACCTCTGGGGTTTGAGGGCAGCCACAACTGGCTCTCCAGAGTAGGAACAGCTCCAGTATCTGGCTGGAGACAAGGGAGGACAGCGAAGTCTACCTAGCGTCCAGGCCACCTTGGCCCAGCACATGCCACACAGGGCTAGGGGTGAGGAGAGTGGGGATCTACTGCTGGCCCCAGGGACTGGCGCCCAGTTGCACCCTGTTCTCTCTTCTCACTTGCTCAAGGTCTGGTTACACGAGGCGCACACAAACACAGTCTCTCTCTGGGCTTCAGGGGCTGAAAAGGAGAAAGAGCTGGGTGAGAGGCATCCTCATGCCCTTTGGCTCATGGCCTCAGCTATCGGAACCACCCCCCAACCACTCCCCCTACAGACGACCCAGTGCCCAGCCTACACCCTCCCTGACCCAGCTCACTACCCTGCCCTCAGACTTCTCTTTCCACAGGAACCAGGGACCGCAGGGGTGACTCTGCAATGGCAGGCCTCTCCCAGGTGTTCTATGCATTGGAAATGATTCTGGCACCAGAAGAACACCTTTAAAAATGTTTTTTAAATAAAATATCAGAAAAGAATTTTCCAAAATGCTTTAACAGTGATTATTTCTGGGTGGTAAGATCACAGGCTTATTTTTCTCTTCCTTCTTTTACTACGATAATTTCCAAATTTTCTAAAATAAGCATGTGTTACTTCCATGATCAGAAGAGGAAAAAAAACCTTGATTTAATGTTACAACATGTTACAAAGCAGTCCATAAAACACGTCGCATTTTTCATGACTTGAAGAACAGAATCAATGTCACCAACCTGTACATTGAAACTGAATTGGTGTATGTTCTGCTGAGTATATTCTCAACCACAAAAAATAATTTTTAAAAATAAAATTTAATTTAAAAAAAAGGACATCACACTTTTCTTTTAGATCATGCATGCGTGCTTATCCTGCCAGGGAGCTGCTGGTTGGGAAGGGGTGGGTCACAAATGTTTGTCTTCTTTCTGCTTATCTGTATTTTGGGTTTTGTTTTATTTACAATGAGTATGTATTGCTTTTATAAAAAGAGATGATTTTTTATTTTGCTCAAAGTATTACCAAGGTAATGAGAAAGGGAATCAAATTCAGGACAGCGGTTTCCCCAGGGGGAAGACAGGAGATGGCACGCGGGAGCCTCCGAGATATGGCTTTTGTGTGCCATCGAGTCAATTCTGACTCACAGTGACCCTACAGGACAGAGGAGAACTGCCCCATAGGGTTTCCAAGGCTATAATCTTTACAGGAGCAGACTGCCAGGTCTTTTCCCCTGTGGAGCGGCTGGTGAGTTCAAACCACCGACCTTTCAGTTAGCAGCCCAGTGCTTAACCACTGCACCACCAGGGCTCCTTGAAGTATAGTTAATGCAGTTTTTTTAACTTCAGTGACGCATTCACAAGTATTCATTCTATTACGCAAAAACCAGAACCTGTGTAAAGCGAAAACCTGAGTCTTCTCAGAAGGAAAACTCAAATATTTCCACTAGTAGAGAACGACAGAAAGTGGTGACTGCATCCTGTCAAAGGTGGGAAACCTGTGAAACCCAGAAAAACAAGGCAGTCTCATCGAATTCCAGCTCTCACAGGTTTCGCTGCATTATGCTTCATAACTTACAGGTACGTTATATGTGTTCTTTTCCGCATATCGAATATTCATAGTGTTTGTTTGGTTTGGGGGGGGCTTTTTGAAGTGGGAAGAGGAGACGTTACCAAGTAGACAGATGAGGCTTCTGCACTCCCCTGCCCTCACTGACACTTGGCTCTTACCCACAATGCAGCATCCCCCGTGGAGAGGGGCATACACCAGCCAAGCCCTCCCACTACCTTGCCTCCAGCCGCCTGCACCACTCACCTGTGGCCCCCATGGAGGACTTGGGCACCCTGAAGGAGCAGCACCGAGAGCAAAAGCTGTTTCCACAGTTACTGCAGCTCCGCTGTAGACAAGAGCCAAGGTCAGCGTTAAATTGTCCCCCAATCCCCAGGCATCTGGAGCCCCCAGCATCTCCCACCTTTCCACCAGCTGATCCCACCCAAGGAATCTGGCACTACTGTGGGACTGGGGAGGTGCCCAAGTGGGGCAAGAGTGAGACCAAATGGCACACCACATGGGCAGGCTGGTAAAGGCACAGACACGGGGGAGGGGGAGACGAGATCATTCACGCAAACCACAGAAACCAGGCCAAATGGGGCCTGAGAAGGAGTCAGACTTCACTCATGACTCCCATGTGCCCCCCTCCCCTAACTTCCCCACAACCCAACACTCACAAGCATGCTGTCCCCGGCAACACACATCGTGGAGAGACTTACCCTCTTCTTCAGCACTGAGAAGGTAGCAGAGCAGCCCGTACAGTTCCCTGAGAAACAGACAGCAGCTCAGCCTTGACACAGCCCATGCCTCGCAACGCCTGCCTGGCTCTTCTAAAGGGTGGCACTCAGGACGCCAGCCCAGCGAAGACTCTTTGGCTGGGAGCAGTGAGCAAGGGAGCAGTCCAGATTCAGACCCAAAAGGAGGAATTCAAACTAAAAAGGCAAGACTGACGGCCACCAGGAATCACTATCTTCAGCCCATACATAGATCCCAGTCCCCACAACCTCCCTGAGTTTAGAGGCTCCACCTGCAAAGTTCAGCAGAAATCGAAGAGCTACCAACAGAATCTACTAGAAAGCAAGCTAAGCTGGCGGACACCTGACCTTGTGTGGAATGACCAGGCATCCCACAGAAAAGTCGGTTCCAACCGCCTTACATGAAACCTGCCTGTCGTGACCTCCTCCCGTGCCTCCTTCCCGACACTCTGCTCATAGGGTAAGGAAAGAAATGCCTCCTCAAAACTCAGACCCTTGTTTTCTGTGGTCTGAAAGATTCCAGGAGAGATGCTCAGAACCAGGCACCTTCCAAGAAGACCCAACTGAGCTGGGGCAGTGTGGAGAGATGTGTGTGCAGGGCAGAACACTCAGGCACTGTGAGCTGTCGGGTGGGATGGGGTAAAAGCGTGGGAGAGAGAGATCCTGCTTTGACAACCGGAAATGACGAGCAAGATGGCAGAAGAGTCAATGGCAGTTTAGAAAACAGTTGGGAGGAAGCAGGAGGTGTAACAAGACATGAAGGATAAGGAAGGAGGAGACCAATCAAGGCAACTAGGCCTAACAGAAGCTGTATTCACCACCCATACACGCTTTCAGAACCACAGGAGGAAAATTAAAAAAGGTGGAAAAAGCAGACTGCAAAGATATGGCCTGATGACAGGTATCATCACCAGGCATGTGAAGGTGTATGGAGGCAAACTGAGAGCTCAGGAGGAAAGAAAAGGCCACACTGGGCCCTATGACTTCAAACAAGCTTAAGAAGCAAACCTAGAGATAAAGGAGAATAAACAAGGTTCCAAAGGCTGCCTCCGAGAATACTGACTATGGTTCAGTGCACAAATATCCACGAGCCAAGAAAGAAAAGGGAGGGAGTCCATGCTCCCTGAAAGCCCTGCCAAGGCTTGAGAGGGGAAAGACTACTAAAGACTTCTGGAACTTGGGGTCCAAAGGCCTCCTGTGGTCTGGCCAAAGCAACTGTCAGCCTCAGGGAGCACTACTGCTGTTTTCTGGGTCACTGTCTGGCCGAGTACAAAGCACCAGTGGGTCACGAGGCCTCACCTCCACACAAAGGCCCTAAAGCTATACTGACAGTTATACATGGTCCCTTCCTCCACAGCCAGAACCTTCTGCAGCTCTTGCTAAAGGACATGGCCTGAGAGGGCCCTAGCTAGAGAACAAGGGGAAACCTGAGGCCATGGTGCTTCAGGTAAGTACCTGTGGCTGTCGGTCAGCTAGTGGCCTGTCGGAGGACAGAAGAGAGAAGAACACGGCAGATACCTGCTGGTGGTGCCAAACCAGGAAACAGGTTGCTCCAAGACTCTGTCGCCTACACTAAGAATTGGGGAAAGGCAGCCACCTCTGTCTCTCTAATGGATAGCGAAGGGCTGGGGCTGGAAAAAGGAGATGTTTGAAGACTACCGCTCTGGCATGTCTCCAGGGAATCTTCACAACCAGATGGAGCAGCAGGGCCAAGCACCCCAAGGGTAGCCACGTGGTCCAGTGAAACAGCCGTGTACCATGCACAGGCCTGGGGCCAGGAAGGGCCCTCCCTGGGAGTGACCCCAGCCCAGACAGGCACATGGGGGAGTGCCGTGCTCGCTTCCAACATCTACCAACTCCTCTGCTCCTATTCTCAGCAAAGGTCCTGACTCACCCACCCTAACTCTCCATGTGATGATGCCAAGGAGCAGTGAGAGCAGGGAGGAGCTCAGGAAGCCATGGGCCTGCCAGGACAATGGTCATGGAGCTTCCAGGACAGAGGAAGACCCCGTTCCACCAGGGCTCTCCCTCAGAAGCCACAGAAGCAGCTTCTAAGCAGCCTGTCCTCATCCCTCCTATGCACCCCCCACCCTCATGTACTGGCAGATGGAATGGAATGGCCCCCATAGTGGCTCACCTCACCCCAGCCTGCTACAGCAGATAGCTCCCCTGACAGCAAAGAACATCACAGGGAAGGGAAGGCGAGCCATCCGAAAGGATGAGGAGTGAGGGGCCCAGGAGAAGCAGCATTTCCTGCCCTTGCCATCCTCGAGAGAACCTGAGAGGCCTTTGCCCATCCTGGTAGGGACTATCTAACCCAAAACCAAATACAAAAACGGGACAGACCTAAAATCAGGGGACTATCAGACACTAGGGCAAAGGAAAATGCAGAAGGACGAGGAACATGGGAGCCGAATCAGATGGTCCAGACTGAGTCCCAGCTCTACCATTTACTGGTTGAACACTTCGGGCAAATCACTCTTTTCACGTCTAGTTACTCATCTGTAAAATGGGAACATCTAAGTGCCTTTACTTAAAATTCCTAGATATAAACACGTCATTTGCCGAAGTAAGAGTATGAATTCTTGTGTGGTATCGTTTGGGACTTTTGGAAACTGCTTCTAAGTCCATGGGAACTGCTGCCCGTCAGCTCTGCCATCTGGTTAGATGAGACTGTGCACTTGATGGCACACCACACGCACAGGGCGCTCCACAAAGTCACTAAAAATCATACATAAAGGGAAAGGACTGCCTACAGAGCACAGTTCTGTTCTGATACACACTGGGTCACTAGGAGTTGGGATCGACTCGGCAGCAACTAGTGGTGGTGGCGGTGGATCCCCCGGGAGGGAGAGAAGGGAAGTGGCTGGGTGAAGGGTGCACAAGGAGATGGCAACTGTTTTACCAATGTTACATTTTTTTCAGCTAGGTAGTGGATTCATGGGTGTTCATTATAGTATATTCCACACATTTTATATTATCATAAATATTGCTTAATGCTTTTTAAAAAGGAGACATTCAAATCAAAAGATAATCAAGGAAGACGTGCTTTTCTGGGCAGCTGCTTTCTCTCTTTGGGCAGGAAAGCAAAAAAAAAAAAGGGATCGTGAATACTGGGGGACAGTCATATAGCAGAAAGAATAACATGCTCATGACTTCTAATCCTAAGAAAACAGCTGCCCTGCTATTGCAGGGACAGGGACAGGGATGGGAAGGCAGGTCCCTGGAGGCCCTGGGTAAAATCCCTCATGAGAAATCCCAGAGCTTCTCCCAGGGGCACAGACCCTAGAACTTGCTCAGCACCAGAATGCACAGCCCAGCACCCTCCCCTCTCCCCACCCACTGACAAAGAGGCAGAAGTCGGGCTCTTCAGGACCATGACTGCCACTCACCAGCTACTCAAGGCTTCCCCCTTCATCTGGCTCAACTTGCAGCTCTCCTGATCTGAGCCAGGACTGCAAGCCTTGCTGACAGTGAAGTTGCCCTTCTCCAAAGCTGCCTTCCACCCCTCCCCACCACCCCCCAGTAAAATAAGACCTGGCCGATCTACAAACATGGCTGGGGGGGCGTGACCTCAGGGCTCTGCCATGCCCAGAAGATACTGTGTTTCAACTTGCTTCCACCTGGATCAGAAAGTGGAGACAGGCTCCTAGGAATCTTAAGGACGGGCCAGGACCTCCCAGATTAAGAGCACCCACTTACTAAGTACTTACTAGTGCCAGCACTTAACAAGCATCATCTCATTTGAGATTTCTAACCACCCTGTGAGGTAAGCGCTAATATTATCCCCTTTTACAGGAGGGGAAACTGAGGCAGAGAGAGGTTAAATAATTAACTCAAGGACCCCCAGCTGAGCTGGGATTTGCACCAGGCAGACTCCACACTCTGTTCTTGGCCACTGTGTCACGCTGCCGAGGTTCTGTCTCAGGATTACACCTCTCTGCTGTCCTGGGGTTGCATTTCTGGAACTGAGCTTCTCGTTTTCCCGCAAGCTAATGTTCAATAAGGACAGAAGGACAAGAAGGAACCCATCCTCACTCCCTCAACAGTCCTGCCTTCCTGGGGTCCTATGGACATACCTTATACTCCCTGCTCTCGTCACAAACCAGTACCCCCAATTCTAAGCCCTTGCACCAGCCACCCACCAGCCCTCCCTTATTTCTCTTCCCCAGCCGTACCGAAGTTATTGGTAGGGTAACGCTTGCGAAGCCGCTCCGTGAGCCGCGACACTTTGCTGCGCAGCACCTCATTTTTGCTCAGGAACCCGTTGTCCTGCAGGGCCAGCTCGTCCTCTGCCGGGCAAGCGGCGCCCTCGTCGTCCTCCTGTGGGGAACAGCTCCTTCCAGTTCTGCCCACCTCTTGGCAGGGCCCTGGGTCCTGCATGCAGAGGCACCCAGCATGGCAGACCCCCATGGCACGGCAGTAGCTGGCTCTGCACCCCTCTTCCTACCCATACCCAGCCCCTGCCCACCTCACTGACACGTCTACTTACCAGCACCACCAAGTGGGTCTCCTGCCTCCCAAGGTGCGGGGGAGGAAAGAAAACAGAGAGAGATAGCAAGGAGAAGAAGAAAGCTGCTGCAAAGGGGGCTCCTCCAAGCAAAAGGAAACTCCAAGTGCTGCTCTGAGTTCTGTCTGAGGGTTTCCCAAAGAGTGACATTAATAGATGCACCATAAAAGGATTCCACCATCAAAGAAGCTTGGGAAAAGCTACATACTCCTGTTTCCAAACTGGGTGAAATTAATTTAGTGGACCATTATTCTAATAGGATACTAACAGGATACAGAATCCTTACTATGTATTTTTTCAGCACATCAGTTGTTTCAGTAAATTTTAGATATTTTACAGATGTGTATACAAACAGAGTCAAGATATAAAATGTGTTTCTGCCTGTGGGTCATGAATAAAAATGCTTTAGAGTCCCTGCTGCTACACTACCCTCCTCCTACCACCAAAATTCATAATCTACCATCATATACAAAAGCCTTGGAGAAATCCTTCAGCAGTTGGAAATTCAGATCCCTCCATGGACCAGGCTGGTGTAAGAGTGAAGTGGGCTAGGGGTAAATCATAGGCCTGGTGGTGGGTAGGCGGGACCTCCACTTTTATTTCTCACTTTCCCACTTTACAGAGAGACATAAATTACAATAAACAATCTCTACTATAAGAAAAACAATAAAGCAAATATGACACTCAATGGCAACTGCCATGAGGCCTTGGTGAAGGGACGACAGGAGTGTTGGGACTGTGTGACTGTGTGCATGTGCCTTGTCTAAAGGGGCCAGTCACTCCTCAGCTACACTGGCTGCTACAGACTCAGGGCTACCAGAGCTTCTGATTTTTCAGAGAAACTGAAAATCTAGACTTTTTATAGCAATGCCCCCATTTTTAAATACTGGCTGAAAACATTCTTTTTAAAATTTTGCAGGCCAAATAAACACTTCTGCAAACTACTAGTCCTAAAATCAACAGGATGGTTTAACTTCCCCTGACCCAGCACCTGACCAGGCAACCACTTTATCTAACCTCCTCCCTGCCCCCTAAAGGAGCACCTCATGGGACTCATTCTGCACTGGAGCCATCAGAGACGCAGGACAGCACCCTCCTTCGAATCTACCTTCCCCACATCAAAGGCACCAAGCCACTGTCTCCAGCTAAGAGGGTAAATCATCCAACTCCCCCAGGAGGGTAGCTCCCAGAGGCTTCCAGAGCCAGCCCTGCCCTGGGTACCCAGGACAGGTGATGGACCAGCTCAACAGGAGGTGTAGGGGTTCAGTTGCACCCTTTTAACCATTGAGATCTAGCTCAGGGCAAACTTCAACTTCTCATATGGACATAAGAGAATAAAAAAAACCAGACCTGGGATGTAGGAAGGCACAGGCCTCCAAGGCCACCCCACTGTCGACCCAGTCAGTAGAGGGTGCTGGGTCAAGGCCACCCACCTCAATCGCATCTTTAAACTCCTCATCTGGCTCAGCCTCCTCGGCCTCCTCCACACTGCCTGGCGTGAGGTCCTGGGAAGATAAACTCTCTTACAGAAGGAGAGGGCAAGAGGGATGGCAGCCCCACTTCCACGGTTAAGAGCCACCTCCCTGAGCCAGCATCCAGGCTTCCCAGGACCCCTGTTCCTGCCCCCAGAGGAGATGCCAGAACTGCAAGAAAGCAGTCACAGACGAGAACAACCTCCGACCTGCTCGCAGGGATAGGAAGACGGGTCCAAGGCCACCCCTGGACTAAGGTGGTGTACAGTACGGTAGTTGCAATCACAGGCTCTCGAACCAGACGGCCACTTACTGGCCATGAGGCCTTGGGCAACCCCTCTGTGCCTCAACTTCCTCTTCTGCGAGATGAGAATCATCTCATTCTCAGAATAAGCCATACCTCGTGTGGTTAATATCTATAAAGTACTTAGAACAGCACCTGACACAGAGTGAGCACTCAATAAAGAATAACTATCAATACTTGGATGGCCCAAATGGTTAAACATGCAGCCACAAACCAAAAGGTTGCTGGTTGAAATCCACCTGGAGACACCTTGGAAGAAAAGTCTGGCAATCTGCTTTCAAAAGGTCACAGCCATGAAAACTCTATGGAGCACAGTTCTACTCTGCACACATGGGGTCGCCATGAGTCAAAACTGACTCAACAGCAACTGTTTTTATTTATTACAATTATTATTAAGCACTTGAGAGGTGATCAGGCCCGGGAAGCAGCAGCCACAAGGATTACAACACAGGCCAGCCCAGGAACTACACGGTACAGACAAGCTGGTGAACAGTAAGGCCCACCACCTGCCCACAGCAGGCTCCTTCCTGATGGTCGGGGCACTCACCTCTGTGGGAGTGGGGGCAGGCGTGCTGTCCAGCAGAGGATCCCTCCCCCCAGCATCCGGTGGCAGACTCTCCAAGGTGCTCTCTTCCTGCTTTGGGTGCATCTGCCGCTGCAGAGATGCCCTGTACTCAGACACCACTACCCAGGGCGAAGGGGGTGGGGTGGGAGGCAGAAAGGCATGGAGTGAGGGGTGCTTTAGGGGTACCCCTTCCACAGTAGCTGGCTTCCTCCTCCACATCCCACCCTCTGCTGCAAGAAAGAGTTGCCCTCCTAACTCTGAGCAAATCACCTAACCTCTCTAAGCCTCATAAACAAAACAGATACCGCCACCTACCTACCTCATAAGGCTGTTAGAGATTAAATGAGGTAAACGATAAAAAGCACTGAGCAGTGCCTGGCATGTAGTAAGTGCTCAATAAACTGTGGCTTTTGGAATTAATTACCCTACCACAGGGTGGAAAACAAATATGGCAGTCACCCAAACACACCTAAGACCAGGCTTCTATGACTCAGGGCCTCTCCAGATGGCCTCGCTGCTTCAAAAACCAGATGGCAGACGCGTATTGTCAGCTCACACAGAGCTGTAGCAGCAACTCCAGGTGGCTGCAGCCCAGGGGGTAGGTGGCAGCATTGGGAAAACATCCCTCCCTCACCTCCCAGAAGCCAGCATATCACATAAGCAGTGATTCATTTGCCATGAGAAGGGAGCAAGGCAGCAGCCTCCCCTGTATCCCACCTAACATCCCAGAGATGCAGAGATACTCTGAGGCCTCTAACAGAGTAGCCTAGTGTGGTGCTGCCCCCTTGTGGCAGGCACAGCAAACACATCTGTTAGCAGTGGAGACCAGGGCTAACCCCTGCAGAGAATTTGCATTTCTAACAAGTTCCCAGGCAATGCTAATGCTGCTGGTTAGGGACTAATTCTGGGAACCACTAGTAGAGCAGTGGTTCTCAAAATTTATTATACGTAAGAATCACCTGGGGATCTTATTAAAATGTAGACTCTAATTCAGTATATCTGGGATGGAAATGCAAATTCTTAGCAGGGGTCTGAACAGGAATGAACCGGTTCAAAGCTGTGGTGGAGACAAATGAATGGAGAAGCCTGGCCAAGGCCACAGAACCTGCCTGGGCCCCAACTCTGCCAGGCTATACAGGGCTTACCTCGGAAGAACTCCACATTGCCCAGAAAGAGTGTGCTGTTTAAAAGGGCAAGGACCCAGCACAGCGGCAGCAGGTACAGCATGCAAACTGTGCCCAGAAGAGCCCCATAGAACCTGGATCGACAGAGCGGAACCACAAAATCAGAACCTCCTCAGATCAGAAGGAAACAGGTCTGGAGCACACCCACATAAGCATCCGGCAAAAAATAGCTCCAGGCACAGTTAATCAATCAACAAGACCTGCTAAACAAACGAATGGAAATAAAGTTGAGGAGGAATGATTTACATCTACCAACAAGTGATGCTGGTGAGGCCACGCAGTCCTGTTCTGTTGCTGGGGGCACCAACAGTCCAACCCCTCATTGCTCTTCAGGCCCTAGACTCTGAAATCTAGACTAAGACAGGCTTGGATTTGAATCCAGCTCTGCCACTTCTCACTAAGTGACCTCTGGCAAGTCCCTTGGTTCTCTGAGCTTTACCTCCTTCGTATGTAAAATAGGGGTTAAAATAGTGCCTACCTCCTAGGGTTACAATGAAGAGAAGACACATGGAAAGTGTTCAGCACAGTGCCTGGCACAAGGCGAAGGCTAAATAGATATTAGCTATTATTATTCATATAAAAAGAGCCTCGAAAATATTCAATCCATTTGATCCAGTAGTTTCCATCTCTGAATTAATTCTAAGAAAAAATTTTTAAAAGATAAAGCTAAACCCACAAGAACGTGTGTTAATAATGAAAGGCAGAATTTGATTAAATGTATAACAGAATGGTTCCATAAACTATAGTATAATGATACTATAAAATAGACTATATACTAAAGGGGAGCCCTGGTGATGCAGTGGTTAAGAGCTATGGCTGCTAACCAAAAGGTAGCCAGTTCGAATCCACCAGCCAGTCCTTGGAAACCCTATGGGACAGTTCTACTCTGTCCTATAGGGTCACTATGACTCAGAATCAACTTGACAGCAAATAAAGTATATTAATCTGGTTTTACAAATACAGTAAAATCTGCAAAAGCCAGAACCTCTGTAAGGCAGAAACCTGTCAGAGAAGAAAAACTCAAATATTTTCCACTAAAATGAGTAATAGAAAGGTGTTAAAACCACACCCTGTCAAAGGCAGAAAACTTGTGAGACCCAGAAAAAGAAGGCAGTCCAGTCGAGTTCCGGCTCTCACAGGTTTCACCGTAATTCCAAAGGTTATACACCATCAAAGAAAACTATTTACTATATAACGATAAATTAAAAAAAAAAAAAAACTCATAAGACTATGAAGCTATATGTCTATAAGGCATATGCATATAACAAAGTCTAAAAGGCAAACCAAACAGATCAGCTGCTGTATCAGGGTATTAGATTACATGGTGAGTTCTTTTTCATCTTTAAACTCTTTTATTACAGGTAGCCCCCAACTTACGACAGGGTTCCATTTCAGTGACTCTGTCGTCAGTCAGTTCTGGTGTAAGTCAAATACTTCTTTTTTTTAGTTCTCATTATTATTGTCTTTTATTATCAGTATCTTTAGAAATCCACTCTTTGAATGTCTGGGAGTAAACATCTGAGAATAATAACATCAGCAAATTACACACTGCAACACTGTATGTAGTCCGTATTACTAAATAAGATGTACCCACCCCACCACAAAAAAACAAAAACCAGACAGTCCTAAGTGGGGACTACCTGTACTAAAATAGTTTTATCATATATAAAAGAAAGCAGTGCATTAGAACCCGGGCCATATGTGCACATGGACACAAAAGAGCCTAGGAGCCTCGTTGTCCTGAGGTGGGTGGGGTGGGGGCCTCTCAAGGCAACTGGCTTTGCTTGGGGCTCAAGCTGCAAATCCTACAGGGCAGTGCTGTAGGGAGAGGAGCGGGGCCACTCACTGTGAGGACACGATGGGGTTCTCCCAGTGCAGCACTCGGTAGGCAGCTTCACAGGTGCAGCACAGGCGGCTCAGAAGGGCTTCCAGCTGGATCAAGCTACAGGCAAAGGGGGCATCTGTCAGTGGGCAGGCCCTGTCCCACCCATCCACACACCATGATAGACGCTCTGGGGCAGCAGCGCCTGGACTGCACGCACACAGCTGGCTAGAGATGGCCAACTCTCTTCAAACACACTAGAAGGGTCCAGAGAAAGCACTGGAGAAAGGGGCCTGGCCAAGCCACCTCTGCTTCATACACGTTAGTCCCCTTTCTGGAGCCTCTATTATGGGTGAGGAAGCCCTATTGGTGCAATGGTTAAAGCGCTCAGCTGCCAGCCAAAAGATTGGTGGTTTCAACCCACCAGCAGCAGAAGGATGTGGTGGTCTGCTTCTGTAAAGATTACAGCCTTGGAAACCCTATGGGGCAGTTCTACTCTGTCCTACAGAGTTGCTATGAATCAGAACCAACTCAACTGCAATGGGTTTGGTTTTTTGGTAATATGAGGTGGGAGGGAGCAGCACAGTGGTTCCTGCTTTGGTGTCTTCCTAGCTACTGGGTTGGGCAGGTTCCTTAACCATTCCAGGGCTGCAGTTTCCTGATCTATAAGATGAAGAATACCCACCTCACAGGTACACTGGCGGCTATGAGGATTAAATGGCAGGACGCAGACCAAGAATGGTTCTCAACCAATGGAAAACAGAATCACTTGGGCAGAGTTCTTTTTAAACATGGATGCACCCCAGAAGCAATGGGCACATCTGCACCCAGATCTTGGCTTCTGAAGGGCTCCTTGGAGAAATGGCTGATTCTAGGGCTGGAGCTGGGAAAATCTAAGATGAATCTGAACATCCTGCTGTGCCAGAAAGGAAGCACTAAAAAATAATGGGGACATATCAAAAGAACAGAAGCCACCTCAAAAGAGCTCCCCCTGGACAAATCTGGACAATTTCAGATCAAAATACATAATGATAGTAATGGATTATAACTCAATGAATAAAATAAAAATCTACAAGTTCATACTGATAATAATATGGAAAAGCTCTTTCTTACAGAACATCAACTAGTAAATACAGATGGAATGATAGTTAGAAAACCCCCTTTGCAACCACCATAGTAATAAACTGACTCACACAAGATTCATCAATGAATTTAAAAGTAGTGGATGCCTAACAATGAATATTAAGGGGAAAATCTGAAGCTACGTTATTTACTTGGATGTACAATCAATGCCCATGGAAGCAGCAGTCAAGAAATCAAATGATGTATTGCACTGGGCAAATCTGCTGCAAAACACTTCTTTGTTGTGTTGTTGTTAGGTGCCATCGAGTCAGTTCCACTCATAGCGACCCTATGTACAAAAGAACGCAACAGTGCCCGGTCCACTGCCATTCTCACAATCATTGTTATGCTTGAGCCCATTGTTGCAGCCACTGTGTTGATCCATCTCGTTAAGGGTCTTCCTCTTTTTCACTGACCCTCTACTCTGAAAAGCATGACATCCTTCTCCAGGGACTGATCCCTCTTGATAACATGTCCAAAGTATGTGAGACAATAGTCTCGCCATCCTTGCTTCTAAGGAGCATTCTGGTTGTATGTCCTCCAAGACAGGTTTGTTCGTTCTTCTGGCAGTCCATGGTATATTCAATATTCTTCACCGACACCACAATTCAAAGGCATCAATTCTTCTTCAGTTTTCCGTATTCATCATCTAGCCTTCGCATGCGTATGAGGTGACTGAAAACACCACAGCTTGGGTCAGGCGCACCTTAGTCTTCAAGGTGGCATCTTTGCTTTTCAACACTTTAAAGAGGTCTTTTGCAGCAGATTTGCCCAACGCAATGCATCTTTTGATTTCTTGACTGCTGCTTCCACTGTCTTGGTGTTGATTGTGGATCCAAGTAAAACGAAATCCTTGACAACTTCAATCTTTTCTCTGTTTATCATGACGTTGCTTATCGGTCCAGTTGCGAGGATTTTTGTTTTCTTTATGTTGAGGTGTAATCCATACTGAAGGCTGTAGTCCCTGATCTTCATCAGTAAGTGCTTCAAGTCCTCTTCACTTTAAGCAAGAAAGGTTGTGTCATCTCTGCAATGCAGATTGTTAATGAGTCTTCTTGATGCCCCGTTCTTCTTCACAGAGTCCAGCTTCTCAGATTATTTGCTCAGCATACAGACTGAATAGGTATGGTGAAAGAATACAACCATGACACACACCTCTCCTGACTTTAAACCAGGCAGTATCCCCTTGTTCTGTTTGAACGACTGTCTCTTGATCTATGTACAGGTTCCTCAGGAGCACAATTAACTGTTCTGGAATTCCTATCCTTCACAATGTTATCCATAATTTGTTATGATCCACACAGTCGAATGCCTTAGCATAGTCAATAAAACACAGGTAAACATCTTTCTGGTATTGTCTGCTTTCAGCCAGGGTCCATCTGACATCAGCAGTGATATTCCTGGTTCCATGCCCTCTTCTGAATCTGGCCTGAATTTCTGGCAATTCCCTGTCGATACACTGCTGCAGCTGCTTTTTAATGATCTTCAGCAAAATATTATTTGTATGTGGTATTAATGATACCGTTAGATAATTTCCGCATTTGGTTGGATCACCCTTCTTGGGAATAGGCATAAATATGGATCTAAATAGGGTGTTAAAAAGCAAAGATGTCACTTTGAGGACTACAGTGTGCCTGACCCGAGCCATGGTATTTTCAACTGCCTCATGTGCATGCAAAAGCTGGATGATGAATAAGGAAGACCAAACAAGAATTGACGCCTTTGAATTATAGTGTTGGTGAAGAATATTGAATATACCATGGACTGCCAAAAGAACAAACAAATCTGTCTTGGAAGAAGTACAGCCAGAATGCTCATGAGAAGTGAGGGTGGCAAGACTTCATCTCACATACTTTGGACATGTTATCAGGAGGGACCAGTCGCTGGAGAAGGACATCACGCTTGGTAAAGTAGAGGGTCAGTGTAAAAGAGGAAGACCCTCAATGAGATGGATCAACACAGTGGCTGCAACAGTGGGCTCAAGCAAAACAACAATTGTGAGGATGGTGCAGGACCGGGCAGTGTCTTGCTCTGTTGTACACGGGGTCGCTATGAGTCAGAGCCAACCTGACAGCACCTAACAACAACCTGAGTACTTCCAAAGGATAAAATCCTTGGTAGTCCCCCATTCAAAACAAGAACCAAGTTTTGAGAAAGAAAAGACTTCATAATGAACGACTAAAACAGGATGAGAAAAGTTCTGGCCGAATTAATTGAATGTGACTCAAAGGGACAGGTATCAGCAGGTAGAATTCCTGATCTACGTAATTACATTTCTGGGGTTTTTGAAAGAGTCGACAGACAAAAAGAAAGTGTTAAGAAAGAAGTTGAAAAATAAAATAAAAGTAGTGGGTGAGGAACAAGATATTTACATAGTTTCAAAATATCTCCTCTCAGATTAATAACTATAAAGGGCGAAAGTGATAAAGTGGTAATTCTACAGTGGAGAAACTTTGACCATGTGATCAAAGTTAGTATCTTCCACAATGGGTCACTGAGGTCACGTGCCTTCTAATATGATACACTAACAAGGACACAGTATCACTTGTCATATTTCTGACAAAAATGCAGAACTTGAATCTAATGAGGAACCAAACAAACTCAAATTGAGGGATATTCTACCAAATAATAAGCTTGTACACTTCAAAAAATGTTAAGGACATGAGAAACAAAATCTGAGGAGCTGCTCCAGGTTAGACGAGACTAAAACCAGTTGCTGTCAAGTCAATTCCTACTCATGACGACCCCATGAGGGTCAGAGCAGAACTGTGCTCCACAGGGTTTTCACTGGCTGATTTTTCGGAAGTAGATCACCTGGGGGGACTCAAACCTCCAACCTTTCAGTTAGCAGCTGAGTGCATTAACCGTTTGCACCACCCAGGGGCTTCTAAAGGAGACTTAAAGAGACATAAAAACTATGTGAACTGTGTGATCCTGGATACGATCCTGGATCAGGGAAAACTGATAGAAGACTTTATTAATACAACTGGCAAAATTTAATTTTAACTGCATATTACATAACAATACCAACACGGGAGTCCCTGGGTAGCACAAATGCTTAAGCACTGAACTATTAACTGAAAGGTTTGTGATTCGAACCCACCCAGAGGTGCCTCAGAAGGCCTGGAGATCTGCTTCCAAAAGGTCACAGCCTTGGAAATCCTATGGAGCAGTTCTACTCTGCACACATGCAGTCGCCAACAGTCAGAACTGACTCGACAGCAACTAATAATGTTAATGTTACCAATGTTAAATCTCCTAATTTTGATCACTGTACTATGGATATGTAAGAGAATTTCTTTGTTCTTAGGAAGTAAGAACTGGAGTATCTGGGGTAAATGGGCATGGTATTTGTAACTTACTTTCAAATGGTTCAGGAAAAAAAAATAATGGGTACATGTAGGGAGAGAGAGAAAGCCAATGTGGCAAAATGTTAATAATTGTTCTATCTGGGCAAAGGGTATATGGGAGTTCTTTGTATTATTCTTGCAACTCCTGACTGCAAGTTTGAAATTATTTCAAAGTAAAAAAGTTAAAAACAAAAAACCAGATACCCAGGCCCCACTCCAGATAACTGACTCAGGAACTCTTGAGTGGGGCCAGGTATCCATTTGTTTACAACTTTTTCTGAAGCTCCACAGATGACTCGGAGACCCAGAGGGCCGAGAACCCCTGCTGTGTGTGGAGAGCCTGGCCCAGGGATGGGCTTTGTAAATGCCAGCTGCCACTGAAGTGGTTACAGTTCACAATTCAACAGTCTTAAAACGTTTCCTCCAAAGCACCAGCTCTGTCAGACTTAGGCAGTTTCTCCACAGTGTAGTGCGACAGCTAACATTTATTGAACACTTCCTGGGTGCCGTCCTACAAGGTAAGCCCTATTATTACCCCACTTAACAGATGAGGAACCTGAGGCACAGGGAGGCTAAGAAATTTGCCCAACATTGCACAGCAATTAAACAGTAGGGTTGGGATTTGAACCCAGGCAGGCTGGCTCATGCATGCACGTGCTTAGCCAAGATCCTAAACTAGCTCTCTAGTAGAAAGAACACAAGCCGTGAACTCTGCTAAATCTGGATTTTCACCCCAGCTCCGTCATGTCCTAGCTGTGTGAACCTTTTCCTCATTCATAAATGGAGGAAAACAATACTAGCTCCCTCCCAGAACTATTAAAAAGATTAAATGAAGTAACATCTGTGGTTTGCCTGATACAATGTCTGGTACACAGCAAGCACTCCGTGTGGCGGCTGCTATTATTGCTATTACCCCCCACCTCAGCCCGCCTCTCTTCCATACTCACAAGCTCTTCACCTCAGCCACAGCCTCAGGGCGAGACAGGCGCACCCTCTGCAGGTCCTCCTGCCTCACACTGTGATACTTCCTCCGCATCAGCTCAGACTCAGGCAGCCGGGCCCGGCATACCTCCTGAAGGTAGCCCAGCAAGGCGGGCACGGAAATCAGCAGGGCACCCACCGAGTACCACGCACCTATGAGATCAAAAACACTGCAGGTGAAACACACAAGCAAGGACCCAGAGACTCTGTCCTTGTGTCTCTCCCTCACTTCCTCCAGGGATCTGCCCTGAGGGGCCTTCTGGGATCACCCCCATATGGGACAGTCTCATCCCTCACTCTCCAGCCCTTTACCCAGCTTTATTCTTCCTCACAGTACTTATCACATGACAGACTTTAGGTTTGTTCACCCTCTCTTCCACTAGCACAGGCTCTTGAGGACTGAGCCTTTGTCCATCTGGCTACTGCTGTAGCCCCAGCCCCTAGAACAATGACAGCATACAGCAGGTGCTCATGCCTGCAGTCTTCAGTGGGAGGGAGCTCCCGGTGACTGCTATTCTGGCCTTTGGGCCCCTAAGGCAGATTGGAAGCCTTGCCTCTGGCTTTGAGGATACCACATGCCAGCGTGGACTGTGAAATGGTGAGGGTGAGAGAAAATTCAAAGAAGGACCTTCTTCCATGTAACATGGTCCCCCAAAAGCAAGCTAACAGAGCACTGGGCTCATAGTAAATGCTTGTTAAATATCTGCCATGTAAACTGATTTACTCTGGAAATGTATTCAGAAAAATCCAACAGCCTGGGAAGGGCCTCTGAATTTTGATAGGGCAAAGAATCCCACTAAGAAATGGAAGAGGTCTTATGTGAACTGGGTCGATTTTCATCCTACTAAGTCCATATCTCCAAAGGAGACACTTGAGAAATGGGAGCTCAACAGAGAATGAATAAACGATCCAGCTCCTCAGGACACTCTGTCCCAATCTCTTCGCTCATTTCCCCCGAGGGATTCAGCTTTTCCAGCAGCCATCTGCCAGTTCCAACCAGGGAAAGGGCTGGGTCACAGCATACATTGCAATAAAAGGTCCACAGGAGACATCACTACCTAGGACTACCTAGGACCTCTGCAGACACTCACCTGTCCACCATGCCATAGACTCCACTCACTGCTGGGGACCACCCAGCAGGCCCCTCCTGGCTCACTTGCTGAACCAGAGAAAATCAACAGACGTGGCAAAACTCTCTCATCAGCTCATGTCGCTGGTACGCTCACCCCATGCCTTCCCCCCAACATGACCCTGACTCAAAGCTTGGAAATGGTCAATGGACAAAGGCCAATGCAGCAGCAATTACAATTGGTGAATCAGTCGAGCTGCAGCAGTCAGTCAAAAAGGAAATAACACCAATAATAATATTATAACAGCTACAATGTATTTCTGCTTACTCTGTGTCAGGCACTGTGCTAAGCCATTCACGAAGATTATCTCATTTACTCCTCACTACTACCTGACAGGGTCGCTATGAGTAGGCATCCACTCAGCGGCAATGGGTTTGGTTTTTGGTTTACTACCCTGTGAGGAAAGCACTATTATCATCCTACCTTTAGAGATAAGGAAAATCTGGCTTAACAGATAGGTTAAAGAACTTGCCAAGGTCACACCAGTGGCCCAGCCAGGGTTTAACCCAGGGCACATCCCCGGAGTCTGTGTTTTGATGCCAAGCAGACACAGGGAGGCTACCTCCAGGGAATGAAGAATGGCTCCTCCACACAGGGCCACGGCTCAGTATCCTTCCCCCACATTCATTCACCAAAACCCCTTGGCCCTTGGTAACAGTTCTTACCCTCATTCAAAGTGAGCAACAAGATGTTGAGGCCCAGGCAGGTCAGCAAGGAACACAAAGGCGTCTGCCACCTACAATACAGAAAGTCCTGATCACTAAAGACAGCTGCTCCTCGCACTGGGAAGCGGAAAGATAGTGGTCAAAACCAAGATTAAGAGGAGGAGGTAGGGGCCTCACTTGGACAGCTGACCAGAAAGGGGTTAAGAGGTCACACATTAGCCCTGGGGGTAAGAACGGTATCATCTCAGAACCAGAGCTGTACAACTTTCTCCCAGGAGGAGGAAGAAACCCAGTCAATACCGTTTAAGTGCACTTTGTTAGGTTCTATGTACCTCTAAGAGGTCAAGCTGATATTCTTATTTAAAAATGTCCTTTATTCGTTTTTATAATATCATAAGTAACATATGATCGTATACTCAGTGTACCAGATTGACCTAATATGGAAATCAAGAAAGAACAACATGTGAAGGACTTTTTTGACAGTAACAATGACTTTCTCTTCTATTTCTGTAATGTGAGAGTTTATACTGAACATATGTTAACTCATAAGGAGAGACAACAATAAAGGTTTTAATATACTCAAAAAGGAAGACAAAACCAGGGTGGAGCATTCACTCAGCAAAAAACACACTGTGAATGAACTAGAACAGATGGAAGCACAGACCCGCCCCAACTCCACCACTACCAACACCAAAGGGCAAAGGGGGAAGAAAGAAGACCACGAGATCCCAGTTGCTGAGGACAAGCAAACACTGCTGGCTTAGTCCCCGACAAGGGACATTTAATAGGGAAAGAGGAACACAGATATAACAATGAAGCCACTGACACACCAGTATCCTAAAGACGAGTGCCACTATACATAACATGAGCAATCAGAGGAGGGAGCAAATATTAGAAAAAGAAACAGACAAGTTGCTGGCAAGCAGTGCATTCAGTACTTAAGAGCATTTTCTTTTGCTCTAATTGGGGTATTTCAAGTTCCTAAGTGAAGCTGGCTCATTTATGTGCTGCTTTGTTTTTTAATAAGAGTTATAAGTGAGGGAATAAAATGACCTCTTTGCACGTCTACTACCCTAATGAGGCCTCAGCATCATCTGATGGCAGCTACCAGGGAAAAACAAAAGTAAAAGTCAGGTCTGCAGTCAATCCCATTTCAGAGATAAAAACATCACATCGCACTGGGGTCACTTTAATTTTTAAAACCTCTTCCATTCCATCTGATGTCTTACTGACACTTCGGTTATGGGAGACCCACCCACTATAATAACTGATCCAGCAGAGAGGGGTCTTTTTAAAATGTACTGCCAGCTCCATGCTTTAGACATAATAGCCAAAGCTCAAGATTAGGTTCCTCCTCAAAGTCAAATCCTCTTTACTAAGAAAAGAACAATCAAACGCACAACCTAATCTGACAGCCATTTTCACAGACCAGTGGTCCATCTCCCAGCGGCTCGGAGACCACAGGCTCCGGGGACTTTTTCGGTTTAATGCTAGGACCTCCTCTATCCAACTTTAATTAATCCTACCACATCCTCAGATTTCTAATTTTCGTAAAATGGGAAAACTCGAACATGTTAGTGTGACAAGAAGCCCTGTAGAACAGAAGCAACAAAGGAGAGGGGAAAGATGTATTCTAACTTTTGTGCTTTGTCACAAAATGGAATACACACACACACACACACACACTCTCTCTCTCTCTCAGAAAACACCAGAGAACACAGTTCCATGCTCTCCAGGGCCCACCCACTCCCCTAAGGAAAACCAAAGCTCATTCCGCTAGGTGGTCATGCTGGGATTGTAAATGAGAAATGGGCCCCTCCCCATGCTACCCCCTACCCCTTCTGCCAGAGCACAGTGATCTGATAGTGGAGAACATCACTCTGGAACAGTAACTAGCCAATATCCAGGATCCTGTCACAAATCAAAGGGGTTCTCAAGCGTACACAAAAAAGAAAAATTTAGGGCCTTGGTCAGAGAGTTAAAAATAAACCGCCCACTATTTCCAGACTGAGGCAAGGATAAATACTCACAGCACCCTTAGATGCTAACCTAACTCCACCAGCACTCACCCTGCCTCCTACCAGTCTCTCTAGGGCATCTTACAGGGTTGAAGATCTCTATGAGAATCTGATGAAACCTAGAAGCTTCTTCCTAGAAATGTACACGTAAACAATTTTACATGCAGTACCTGGGGATTCAGCCCACCCACAGGCTCCAAGTTAAGAATCCCTGCTCTTTAGGACAACCAGGTTTTATGGGACTCTGGATGTAATACAGTATTAGGAACACAGCATTACCTTTGCCAAAAAAAAAAAAAAAAAGTTTTTAACTTAATTCCAATCCAAGCTTTAAATGTAACTTACAATTTTTACCATGAGGAAGCAACTAGACAAATCTAGGTGGAAAATTTTTCAGGACAGTCAGTCTCTTCAGCAAGTCAGTGTCATGAGAAGAGAGACTGTATTGGATTGAAAAAGACTTAAGGGACATAATAACCACAAATGCCATCCTGTGTGTATGTGCAATCCTGGGCTAGAACCTGATTTGCATCAAAACGATTGTAAATTACATTCTGGGGACAACTACGGAAACCTGAATAGGATGGGTTAAGCATGATGTTTGATTATGAAAGAAAATGCCCTTATTATTTAGAGACGTAAACTGAAATATTTAGGGAATGGCAAACCATATCTATAAATTGAAATACTTTAACATAAAAAATAAAGTGAGCTGAAAGGAGAAAAACACAACTACTAAGGATAAAAATTAAAGCAGAATAGGAACAACAAAGGTTGAAATTCATAATCCCAAAAGATTAGAATAAGATTACCTACTTATTCATAGATATTGGCATGTCTTTAACTTTTATTCATAATTATATCCTAATTTTAATATTAATTATGCTAATATTGGGAAGGACAAAAAACCCTGCTCCAAGATGTAGAAGGACTGCTGAAATTAGGTCAAGGTTAGCTAGCAGTTTTAGGGGTAGGAGTTTATTCAGCCGCAAAGAAACCCCGGTGAAAGGCCAGATCCTTCCCTGCACCTGCCTCACCTGAGCTGCATCTGAGACAAAGGGTGGGCCTGGAATAGGCCCAGATTTCTGAGATGCCCTGAAGCCAATCCAGGCCCATCAGACCTCCCAGAACTGCTCCTCACTAGGGCAGAAAGGGCAGCCCAGCCACTGTCTAAATGACCACCAACCTACACACAAAGCAGGAGACAGAAGGCCCCACAGGCCAAAGCAACTCCACAGTCTGTACCTGAGCAAGTATCGGACTCCATCACCTGCATCCTTCAGGGGTTCCAGGTAGATCTCCAGTCTCTTGTAGGACAGAACCAGGTTGAAAAGATCAAATGCTGGAGACTTGGTAGGGGCAGGTGGAGACTCTGGGGGAGCCTCAAGTATCACGCTGGGGCTCACCTCCAGCCCACTCCCCTCACGCTCCGATGTCTGCATTCTGTAACCATAATAATGTCTGACATTCGCATTGCACTTCCAGCCCCAACATACTCCAACTTGTATTATTCCATGTGGTGCCCATAAGAAACCTGTGAGGTAGGCAAGGCTACAGGTGGAATGCCCATTTCACAGAGAAGGAAACTAAAGTTCAGCAAGGTGAAATGAGTTACCTAGATATAAATCCTGTCCTCCTGACTCCGCATCCAATGCTCTTTTCCCCACAGATCCGTCAAGAATATAAGTAATATTCTCTATCAGCCCAGAACTAAAACAATTTCCGAGGCCGACTCTTCAGACAGGGATTGGACTGGACTGTGGGGCATAGAGTGATACTCGTGAGGAGTGTGACCTCAAGCAGACACAAGAGACTAAACGGGCAGCTTCTGTCCAGAGGTGAGATAGGAAGTCAGAGAGGGTTAGAAGCTGGCTGAATGGACATGAGGAATCAGGGTTGGAAAGGAGGAGTGTGCTGTCACAGTATGGGGAGAGCAATTAGGATCACATAACACTGTATGTATAAATTTTTGTATGGGAAAAGAAAAAAAAAAGAATATAAGTAATAAAGGCCAAAGCACTTGTGGTTGGGTCCCAACAGAAATGATCTCCTGGACTATTTTCCCCCCACTCCTTACCTGGTTAACTCCTACTCATCCTTCAGGTCTCACCTTAAACATCATCACTCCCTTTTCCAACACTCCCAGTCTGGAATGGGAGACCCTCCCCAATGCTCCCGAAGGACCATGTACTCACCCTAAACGAGCACTAACACACAAAATAAAAACTCTCTGCTTTCTTGCCCGTCTCCCCCTCGTAACTTTGAGCTCATGCCTCCCATTCATCACTGTTTCTGCATATAGCAGGCACTCAGTAAATAGTTGCTAACTGAGTAAATGCACTACCCATCCTCCAGGACCCTCGGGCTTTCTCCCGTCCCACTCCATCCTCTAACCTTTCCTACTCCCATCGGTTCCTTAAGAGTCCAAACAACTTCCTGGACCATCCCTGACCATCACCTCACCCCTTCCCTCGTTGAACCCTACTGGGGCAGCCATCACCTTCCATAACGCCCCATTCCCATCTTCCCCCTCTGATGAGGAGAGCCGCACGAACCCTCACTCTCTTTCCTAATTTCAAAGTCCTACCGTGAACGCTAAGCAGAAAATGAGGGAGCGGAACCTCGGCGCACAGCTACATACACCAGTCCCAGGCACTGGGCTGCGATCTGACAGGGGGTGACAAAGGGGCCACGGGGAGCCCGAAATCCCTGTGGACGAAGCCAGGGTAAAAAGACCCAGGGCTGACTTGAGGTAGGAGCGCAGGACTCAGTGAAGCAGGTCGGCGCCGGCAGGAGCCCTGACCACCACTGCCGCCGCCCACGCAGCCGGACAAGGCAGCCCAGTCTGCCCAGACAAGGCAAGGCCACGCCCAAGGTCGCTGGGCCAGCAGGTGGCAGCCCCTGCAGCGTCCAGGCGCCTAGCACGGCGGAGACACGGAGGCGGCGTGTCACCTACCTGGTCGCAGGCTAGGGGGGAGGGGCGGGGGCGGCCGGGGGCACTAGCCGGGCCCCTGGGCCCCGGAGTTTTCCTCAAGCCCGCCCCACCCCGACGCTGTGCCTCTTCTAAAGCTGCTCTGAAATCCGAGGTCCGAGATAAGCCTCCGTCTCCTCCGCAGCCGCCGCTTCCGGGACCCGAAGCTCTCTGCGGCGGCGTGCCCCTGACGTCATCTCGCCCGCCCCGCCTCCGGCCCCGACACGGCTCCAGGGCTTAGCTCCGCCCCCTCCCCCCCGGCAAGTGAGCGCCCTCCTCAGCAGTGCGCCTGCGCGCCTTTCGCTCATTAGCCCCGCCGGCTTAACTCTGTCCCTGCCGGACGGCGATTCGCAATATCTTACGAAGCTTGTCTGTGATCTCCGATAGCTTGCTTTTGTCCGAATCTAACCAACTCCTTTAAGCAGGAGTAAAATGTCTGTACGTCTTCCCTGATTGCCCCAGCTGGAAGTAATCACTCCCCTCTCCAAACAGCCACAGAGCTTTATTGGGCATCTCCTCTGCAAGTATCTCCTGGCAGAAAAGCAGACGCCCACTCTGCAGCCAGGAGTCAGCTGTGCCTGAAATCCGCACTTCTCACTTCCTGAGGACCTGGCTCTGTCCAACTGAAATCCTCATTCTGCCGACTCTTAATCTTGTCCTAGAGACAGAATCCCAGGAAATGCTCTCTCTTAACCTTACTTTACCCCTCTTCCTTCCCTTCTTAGAAGCCTTGCTGCTCTCCCTACCTCTGCTTCCTCACCCCACTGCAGCCCAGCTTCCTTCCATGACCGTAGGCTACCTACTACAGTCACAGATAATGTCCTGGCTGCTAAACCTGATGGACACTTCCCAACCCTCCTCTCAGGTGACCTTTGCAGCACTGGACACTCTTCAGTGCTTTCTTCTCAGCACCAGTGTCCACCTTAGCTTCTACATCACCGCCCTCTCCTGCTCTTCCTCCTATCTTCAAAGTCCCCTTAGGTTTCTTCTTCCTGCCCCTCAAATGCTGGTGTTCCTGTCTGCTACCCTCTTTTCTTCCTTTCAACACTAAACACTCTCTCTGGGGGTCTCGTCCACTCTTATGGTTGTTTCCTCTCTTTATGTCTTCAGCACCTGGAGAAGTGCCTGGCACATAGGCATTCTACAAAAGTGTTGCATGAATAAGTGAATGAAAATCTATCTCCAATTTCTATCTCTGAGCATCCAACTTTCTTCTGGCTCTCTCCATCTAGATGTCCTGCAGACACTTCAAACTCCACAGGTGCAACACAGAACTCATCATCTGCAACCCCAAGCAGCAATCCCTCCCAAGGCCTTCACCTTAATTAATAGCCCTAACATTACCTAGCCAAACCAAAAACCTAAGAGTCAACCTCGACTCCTCCTTCTCCCTAGCCTCCCACCTCCAACCCATCACCAAGTCCTTTCAATGCCATATATTTCTTTTCATCCCCACTGCTACCTCCCTACTCCAAACCACCATCATCTCTTTCCTGTACTACTGCTCCTTCCCCTAACTGGTCTCTCCATTTGCTGTCTCCAACTCACTCCTCACACTGAGGCCAGACGACCTTTCTGAACTCATATCTCTTAAGTTTTTCACAGCTACGCCAGCCCTGGGGGGCACCATAAAATTGGGAGTGACATTTAGTGTAATGAAAGTCCTTGGCTAGAGCCCCCATCTGCTGTTGCAGGATCCCAGGCTTCCCTCAAAGTTTCAATTGGTTGTTTCTGGGATATCTCACTGGGAGGCAACCTCTACTTGTTCTTCTTCTCCCAACACTGCCTCTGAAAAATCAGCCGCTGAAAACCCTATGAGCAGAGTTCTACTCTGACACATGTGAGGTTGCCGTGAGTCAGAATCAACTCAACGGCAACTGGTTTCTCTGCACAGTGCTTAAGAGCTCAGGCTTAGGAGTTAGGCTGGTTTGAATCCTGTCTGTGATCCTCAGAAGGTACACTAGAAATGTACTTAAGCAACCACCATGCAGCCAACTCTTAATTAACCCTCTCCATTCTTTCTGCAAATATATTGACTAATTCCCATAGTACAGCGGGCACTGGGTACTCATAGCTACTCAGCTACTTTCTGACACAGTCAGACACTTTTGCTTCTATGCTTTGTATTTCATGCTAACTAAGAGTCACTTTGGAGCCCTGGTGGCACAGTGGTTAAGAGCTCAGCTGCTAACCAGAAGACCAGAAGTTCGAATCCACCAGCCACTCCCTGGAAACCTTATGGGGCAGTTCTACCCTGTCGCGTAGGGTCACTATGTGTTGGAATCAACTTGAAGGCAAGGGTTTGGGTTTTTTGGTTTTTTAAGAGTCCATTGTGAGAAGAAAAATGAGTCAATTGCGATGTACCTAAATCTGTTTACTTATTATTGTAATTTTTAATCAGTTGTACTAATTATTACAATTTTGTATTTATTTCAGTTATCTATTTCTGCACAACAAACCTCCCCAAAACTTTGTAGTTTAAAACAACAATTTTTCCTCAAAAAGTTAAACATAGAATTATCATATGACCCAGCAATTCCACTCTTAGGTATACCCAAAAGAATTGAAAGCAGGGACTCAAACAGATACTTTACACCAATATTCATTGCAGCATTGTTCACAATAGCCAAAAGTTGACAATAACTCAAGAGTGCATCAATAGATGAATGGACAAACAAAATGTAGTATACCCATACAAGGGAATATTTTTCAGCCATAAAGTGAAATGAAGTTCTGATACATGTCATGACAGGGATGAACCTGGAAAACATTATGCTGAGTGAATTAAGTCAGACATAAAAAGAGGAATATTGTATGCTGTCACTTATATGAAATATCTAGAATAGGCAAATGCACAGAGACAAACTTTTATTAGTGGTTACCAGGGCTGGGGGAAGGAGGAAATGGGAAGTTATTACTTAAGGGGTACTGAGTTTCTGTTTAGGGTGATGAAAAACATTTAGAAATGGATAGTGGTGATGATTACACAACATCATGAATCTGATTACTGTCACTGAATTGAACACTTAGAGATGGTCCAAATGGCAAATGTTTTGTTGTATATATTTTGGCACAATAAAAAGATTGTTTTAATGATTTATTATTTTTCACAATTCTTTAGGTTGACTGGGCTCAGCTGGGCAGTTCTTCTGTTCCATGTGGCACTGGCTAGGGTCACTTATTCAGCTGCATTTTGCTGACGGTTGGGCTGGACTGGGCTGGAAGATCCGGTACTTCAGTGTTCCTCCATGTGCCCTCTCCATGTGGCTAGATTTAGACCTCTTTCATGGCATGGTGGTCAGAGGGTAGTTGGACTTCTTATTTGGAAGGTAACTTCAAGAGGGAGATAAAGAGAAGAAGCAGAAGGTTCCAGACATTTTAAAGGCTAAGTCCCAAACTGACACGGAATCACTCCCACTGCATTCTTTTGATCAAAACAAATCACAAAGCCAGCCCAGATTCATGGGGAGGGGAAAGAGACTCCACCTTTTGACAGGTGGAGCAGCCCTTGCATATAGGGAGGGAAGGAATTGATGGTGGCCAACTTTTCAGACTACCATAGTAGTATAACATATATTATGTAAAGCATTGAAATATAAGTACAAAAATAAAGAAGGTTGTTGTCTCAATGACAATGTGCTAGAATGCTGTCTTAGATATCTAATGCCGCGGTAACAGAAATACCACGAGTGGCTGGCTTTAACAAACAGAAATTTTTATTTTCTCACAGTTTAGGAGGCTAGAAGTCTGAATTTAAGGTGCCATCTCTAGAGGAAGGTTTTTCTCCCTGTCATCTCTGGAGGAAGGTCCCTGTCTCTTCTCAGTTTCTGTTT